TGATAGTGATAGTGATAGTGATAATGATAATGATAATGATAATGATAGTGATAGTGATAGTGATAATGATAATGATATATCAAAATATTTTTTAGCGCGAAATCCTCTAATTGTCCATGGCGCTTTACATTAAAGATTATTAAAAAGCTAAAAGAAAGGGGGTTGAAGGGGAAAAAAAAATAATAGACAGGAATAGATTTAGTTAAAATTCTAAGATATTTAAACATACTTATCATCTAAAAATTTAAAGAGTTAAAAAGCTTGTTTAAAACTGTCAATTGAAGAACTAGATCTTAGTTCGACTGCGATCGATTTTCATAGTCCTGGTGCCGCCACAGCAAACGTTCTCTCGTCATCAGTCTTTAGTCTCGCTTTCGAGGTTGCCAGAAGGTGTTGTTCTTCTACCCCCTCCCACCCTCTCCCCATCCCTCCCCCCTTCTCCTCCCCTCTCTACCCTGCACGGGTGTGTGTTACCTCTTGAGCTTCCGTGACTAATCGTTCAGATAAGGAACAACACTCAAAACCAGTATACACTCCTTTTTTATAGGAATGTTGTTTTTCTGGCCGAGGCTGAATATTATTATTTTTCTGCCGATTTTTGGCTGAAAATACTACGATTATCAGTTGAGTAAGGTACGAGGGAAGTTTGGTTACGAAGTTTTGGCCTTAAAATTATGGTGTTGTTACGGGCAACTTGCCTCGTTTCCGTTGGTAACAATATCAACAGCCGTGCGTCGCCTGTCGCGTCTCCTACAATTTCGCGCGCTTTGCTGCCGATGACGTTAAAAGCCGACAAGTTGCCAATGGATACAGAGTCAGTTGCTCATGACAACAACACGATTTTTACGTTAAAACTTGGTGACCAAACTTTTGTCCCGCCTTACTCAACTGATAATCGTAGTATTCTTGTGAATCTTCTTAGATTGTAGCGTATGACATTTCTGTTTTCGAATGTATTTGGTGTCTGGATGGTGTTAAAGTAATTTTGGAGCCAGCCAGCTGGCATTAAGACCTGATATCACGCACATACTACGATTATCAGTTGAGTAAGGCGGGGCGAAAGTTTGGTCACCAAGTTTTAACATAAAAATCGTCTTGTTGTCACGATCAACTGGCTCCGTATCCATTGGCAACTTGTCGGCCTTTGACGTCGTTGGCAGCAAAGCGCGCGAAATTGTAGGCGACGCGACAGGCGACGCGTGGGTGTTGATATTGTTACCAACGAAAACGAGGTAAGTTGCCTGTGACAACACCATAATTTTAGGCCAAAACTTCGTAACCAAACTTCGCTCGTGCCTTACTCAACTGATAATCGTAGTAACTCCTTGCAGAAATGATATTAGCATCGAACATACGGCTAGTGCTGTTTTTGTCGCTTTTTGGTTAGTTTTGCCGTTTAGATAAGGGAAGAATTTTATACGGTTTAGTTAAAAACATATAATTGTGTTATATTTATAAATTTTCAACACGAAAAATTATATTCTTTTCAAAACTCTCAGCCTCAGGTTTAGACTTAAAATATCCTTTAAATTTCGCAAATTTCAGCCTCGATATTCTCATAAAGCATATTCTTATAAAAAAGAAAGAGTGTGTGTACAATGGTAGAAAGTAACTCAGATTCCATACAAAATGTTGCAAATTTTACCTCACGATATCGTAACATATGAGAGTCCGCATCCAATGACACGCTTCATTTAACATCATGGAAAGTGTCCATCATTGCACCATGATAACAAAGACTCACACAGTCAAGTGTTTCAATTGCTAATTCTGTCATACTTTGTTGTGAAATGAAGTCATGAAGCTTGAATTATGATCGGAATATTTGTTTTACTGTGATGTATGATGAAAGGAACATTTAGATCGTCCGTGCATTTCTGTGCCTGGAGTATAGATGGCGCTGATAGTAAAGGAATTCTTTGTCAAAAATTAAATTATGACGCCCACTACGTGACCCTAAATGAAAGATGTGTTCCCTTCCTTCCCTTCTGTTTCTTATCTGTTCACATCCTCCAGCTGGATTATGGAATAAATTACTCCATTTGTGATTTGGAAGTATGTAATGTTTAGAAAAAAAAAAATCACTTCTGCAATAGACCAAAATTCAGCCTAAAAACAATAGACCTCAGTACGAGGCGCTGGGGAATAACTAGACAGTTTGTGGGGTTTATTCCCCAGAACCTCGTGCTGAGGTCTGTTGTGTTAGGCTGAATTTTAACATATCGAAATTGGCCTATTCTTCACCGCTGGACGAGCCTGTCAGCCGAATAGGAACACACACGAAGGTCGACAGGAATTTCGCGCAAATTTTTTATCTCAATTGAACAAAAGAACTCGCAAAACAATGCCCTACCGGAAGTCAAGGGCAAAGCATGGCTGTATTGGATAACTTGAAGAATAACCATTTGTGAACAGACGACGGTGCAAAAACGCTCTGGGGGTGATTCAAAACTTTAAAGCAGGGCCGAAATTTCCAGAATATTGTAGCAGTATTAAGGCGCATATTACATCCATATTTTGATAATGGTGTAGACTGTAGGGAACGCACGCTTTAGAAGCGAGCTGTCCTGCTATTTCTTAACTGTCTGCTTGATCTGAGCGAATGGTTAAGTGGGAGTGTCCCGCGAATGATCCCCACGTCGCCCACGATACTCGCGGTGAGTCGCGCGCTATTGTTACGTTCTCCGCTCAGGAATATTCAACCTGCCAACAGCGTGCGCAAAGTGGTTTCTGTGATAAATTGTACAATTTCGTCCCGTAACCTTCTGTTTCCCTTTTCCTCGCCAGGCATATCTTGAAAACCGGCTCCAAGAGGTGTTAAAGGACATTGGAGTGGTTAGGAATCACCTCAGAAAACGTACTCCGCTCTGAGACATTTACCGTTGCCGGAACGGTTTCTTCAGTTGTGTAATTTAAAATACTGTACGCTTCTTTCAGCATGTAGATGGAGCGACACTTCGTTATTTATTTTAATTTTTATTTCTTTATATTTTCGGAAGAATGTTTTGTATTCAGAACTTTCGAAAGAAGTTAAATCCTTATCCATATCAAACAGGGTTTAAATTTGAAGCTACAATTTCGTACCAGCTTATGGTTACAGTTGTGTTTAACTAAAAACTATGCTGATTTTTGTTTAATTTTTTTTTTTCTCGCGAATGAAGTTTTGACGAAAATTCCTGTCCTAGAAGGTTTCGATTGTAAGTTTGAACGTGTTGAAGTGTTTTTGGAATGCATCATTCAAGAACAACAGAGGGCCGCCACAAACACAAGTTTACAATGACGAGTAAAAGTTTCGACGATTTTGGCCAAACAAATTATTATCGATTGGTTTTCACAGTAAACTTATGATTACTTCAGTTTTGAGATAAGGAAAATAAACCGATATGAAATGCTCACTTTTATTGTCATTTCAGTATAAGATACTTTCAACGAAAGTGAACTGCTAGTTTAGAGTTGGGGCAGGCATGCGGCTGTGGGGGGTGGGGGTTGTGGACAGGCAAGGGTAAGCGAACACAATCACGTGTTTCCCTTGTCTAACATGCTCTTTTAGCACCATTTGCTAATTTCTGTGTTTGTTTTAAATATATACACGTAGCGTCGGACGAGTGCGAGATACAATATACATACCCTAGTTTGCGTGGTTTTCCATTTCTATTTCTCATGTGAGCCGCGTGGCGGGGAAAACGAAGCGAAGAACCGGAGCTGAGCAAACTGCAATCACGGTGCCTCAGTGGCAGAAAGAAGGTTGTTAATTAAATGGAAACCCCTGGGACCAGTAGACATACATAATTGCTCTCTTATTCTTCTTTTTTCCCTAACATATTCTACCATTTTCACGGCGAAATATGCGAATTCACTGATCAGGGATAAGTCTCAAGGCCGAGCGGTCATGTTATGAAGGAAAAAATCCCGGTACATAGCGGAGAAGGGTTTTTTGTACAATTTTAACCACCTAACATTGGTCACTGTTGTTTGGTCGCGGCTTGTCCTGTAAACCGAAAAGTTTTTGTGTTATTGAAATCTGTTTGAGCGTTATTATAATGAAGACAATGAAAGACAGAACTTAAAAGTGACATTCATATCACGCTCTCACATGGTGGCATTGTTCAAACGTGTTGGAAAAAATTAATTTTAATAACGTGGCCAACAATTCTTGAATGTGTGAACATCTGCGAAACACAGCTGCCGCTTGAATAAAGAACGGAAGCTGAAAACTTGTTGGGAAGAATTTTCATCGGAAGCGCTACAATTTCCGACGCAGCCTGAAAATGTGGCCATCAAAATCGGCAAGATTACGCACAAAATCGAACAAAAGTCAAGGTTTCGAAAATCTCAATGTCAATCTTGTTCTCTTTTCTTGAGAATTATATATCTGTTATGGGTATGGTCAAATCACACATCAAATTCTGCAAGTTTTTCGAGCACGTGAAATGGCACATCGCGCCCTGGAAATTGGCGGGAAATATCTGTCACGCCCTCGGGTTGCGATCATGACCTGGTTTGTGTAAGAGAATTTTATGTCTTTGAAGGTTTCGAATGTCAAGAGTAATGTTGTTTTTTTCTTGTTTCTAACAGAAGCATCTTAAAGATCTCAAGTTTTCCGTTAAAGTCTTGTAATTCATGTTTACACAGAATTAACAAAGGGCTTTTGTTCATTGATAAACTCGAGATAACAATCACTTGTAGATCAGAAGAGAGCGCGCAAATCATCTTGACCGTAAACAAGGTCCAATTGACAACCAGAGACCAATCTGTTTTAGAGACATGCTACTTTGATAAGAAACATAAACAGCTCTCAAACCCCTATAGAGCTGCAGGAATACGAGTTTTCTCGGGAAGTAGATCGTATTTTTCTGTAGGATCGAAGAGAGGAGCAGTCCATTGCATTGAAAGATCACGCAGTCCCATTGGTTGCATTTCGTGAAAGAGGTGTCACGAACTTGACGGATCTTGCGCATTACCTTCTGAGAACCAATCACTACCGAGATTCGAGACCACGTGAACCGAGCACATGAAACTGTTGTCAACCCAGCCGTGCGTCGAATTTGAATGGAGGACAACTAGCGAAGGTTGGTATTGGAACGTTTCATGGCTTTTTAATGCGAGAAATGGGGCAGCTTTGGTATAAGGCTCGAGCTGAAGTTACAAATAACCGAGGGATAAGTGTCCCGCTAGGTTTCATTGCAGTATTTGTCGTCAAATCGCCCAGAATTGTTTGTGGAAGAAAATCAATCTTCAACCTCATGGTCGGATCTTGCCTAGTTGCTGGAATACTCATACATCCAAATTTTGTCACCAAGATTGTCTCTTGGCGGTTAAATCATGGACTGAAGCGTAGAGTAGTTTTGAAGTTTGGAAGCTTTCGCCTGTTCTACTCAGTGTGCCTCCTGGCAAGGGCCTTTGTTTATGGCAAACTAGAAGCTCGACTCAGCCCGCCATGTCTAATTCGTCACGTTTGTTGTGTCACTCCGTCAGAAATGAAGCAGAACCAGTTGTAGTCTGGCGCTTTTATGCGCTTCATTGTTGGTCACGAAATTAAATGTTTTAAGCTTTTCGTCGCTTCCATTCATTTTCTTTGGAGGTCTCATTTTTGACGTTTTGTTGAAGTTATCATTCGGTGGTGACAAACGTGACCGTGTTAACTCTACAAAACCCAAGCCGTTGTCGCTTCTAAATTGGGCTAATAAATAGTCAAAGATTATACACTTACCAGTATGTTGCGTTGCAGGGGTATTAAATCGACTTAATTTCCTCTTTTTTAAGCTTAAAGAAGGTTAAAGCTACGATGACGGGGCGAGCCAGGGGTAGAAGTCGTGGTCGAGGGCGAGGAGGCGCGGGCGGCGATGCCGCGCGAAGACCCGGGGAAGGAACACAGCAAAGCGCTCCTGAACAGGTTGCCCCGGTAGGACGTGGACGATCAAGAGGCCCTCCTCCGGCTCAAGCAGCAGCTCCTGCCCCCCAACAACAACAAAAACCGGCTGCACCTCCGACTGAAGCCATGGCAGCGATGAGTGTCCGGCAAGAACAGAGACCTCCGGTGGGTACAACTGGATCAGCAGAGCAGAGGCCTCCACGCCGTTCAAGAGACATACCAAGCGATCCTGCGACAAAGCCTGCGCACGTAGTTGACAAAAAGGGAGGCACTGGAAAAACTATTCAGTTGGTAACTAACCATTTTAGGTTGATGACCAAACCAAACTTCGCTGTGTACCAGTACGACGTCAGCTTCAATCCCGAGATTGAATCAAAACGGCTGCGCGTCGCTCTCCTCAAGAGTCAGAGTGCTGTCATTGGCCAAGTGCACGCCTTTGATGGGAGGATGTTGTTTCTTCCATTGCGGCTGGCAGATCAAGTGACTAAGCTCAATCTCGAAACGCGTAGCGGAAATGCTGTAGAGATGACCATCACGTTAACTAATGAAATCCCTAAAGATTCACCAAGCATGCTGCAGTTGTACAACATCATCTTTCGCAGGTTTGTCTTTTTCTTGTATTTATATTTATTTTCAGTGAGACTTGAATGATCACGGAAAACTTGTGCATGCACCGAGAAACAATCGCTTAAATGTGTCGTTTTCATCTTCCAGTCTTTGAAAACGTTTTGGGTCCATGAACTCCTGTCATATCCCTGGTAGTTTTTCACTTTCTTGCATGTGCACCATGCCATCGGCAGGTGGCAGTTCAAAGTTTGATTTCAGTGTTTGATACCTTTCCGAAAAATACCATAAAATTTTTCAAAAAGCAGGTTTCAGGGTGCAAGCATTACAATGTCCCTTGTTCATGGCATGAGCTGCACATGCCATGCAACAACGTTTCAAAACTAAAATTTGCATAATTATGTGGTAAAATATGGTAGAAGTACTAGTGCACATTGGTTTTTGAGAAAATGTGATAATTTTACTGGTCATGCCAAATCCTGTGACTTGATGCTTTTGTTTTTCTCAAAAACATACTGAAGTTGTGCTTGTTGTTCAAAGCTGCAGATAATTGTTAAACTTTCCTTTTTATAAATGGTTGCATTTTGCGATGCTCTCAATCATCTTAACAGACATCTCAGATTCAGCTTTTAAAGGTCACTTCTGAAGGTCAGGGCTTGCTGGTCTCAAGTTTCTCAGATTTGGTCACCAGCACAAGTTTTTGTGTCACTGAAACTTGTCAGCCCTTTGGGCTTCAAATGTTTCCACAAAAAGAGGCTGAAACTGCATGCAATGCGCCTTTTTCATGTAAAATAAAGTTAATCACCCTTTTCTAAATTAAGGTTACACAATACCGTCCTGGGTGCCCAGAAAGGAACCACATATGCAACATCGTTTCAAGACGTTTATTTTAAGTTTGATAAATAATGGGCCAGAATATTAAAAAAGATTAAGAAAAGAACTCAACCTGATGTGCAAAGCTGAGAAGAAAATAAGAAATTATATATCTTTGCTGTGCCACAAAATGCACAAAGCAGCCAAAAAAATTGAATAGGGGGAATGAGTTAATATTGACTTCGGAGGACAAAACAAAACCAAACACAACAGAATTTGGATTCTTGTATTATAATGGCTAACATTTGTATTTTTCCTTTCTATTTTAAGTCCCAAAGTAGTAATGTCTCGGTGCTAGGAACGAAAACAAGACCTCAGAAGTTTGTAGATTTGTCCGCAACGTGCCATGACTACCTGTACTTTTTGAGTGCGCAAGTTTAAGATGGAAAACCCTCTTTCTAGGACCCCTGAAGTTCTATAAAAAATATGCTTGGCAAGTTGATTCTGATTGGTTTATTTGTCCTCAAGAACAATCGAACAATAAGAACCAAACGGTTTTAACCCATTGACTCCCGAATGATTTGCGCGCGACCCACCCCTAAATTCTTGGATGATTTTTGGACATATTAGAGCAAGTACGAGCGCTAAAAATAAACCATATTCGCAGTAACCACACACAAAATTAGGCTTCAAGACTTCATTGATTTTAAGTTGAATAAAGGAAGGGCCAAAATATTAAAAAATATCAACAAAAAGAAGTCAACTTGATGTTTAAAACTGATAAGAAAACAAGAAATTACATTATTTCTTTGCTGCATGACAAAATGCCTGACAGAAGCCGAGAAAATTGAATATGCGAAAATGAGTTATTATTGACTTCGGAGAACAAATTGAAAACAAATACAACAGAATTTCCATTCTTGTACTGTAACGGCTAACATTTGAGAAAACAACGGAAATTAAAGGTGCAAGGCACATGTAAAAACAAATTTGAAAGCAAGAAATCAAATAATTTCTTTGCTGCACGACGAAATATTACAGCGCTGCGAAAGAAAGAGTTGTAAGTCAAGAGATGATAAAAACGAGCTAATTATTTTGAGATCAATCATATTTCAACTGTGCTAAATTAGAACCCATTTAGTTCTTTTCTCGGCAGTTCTGTAACAGCTGAATAAGACTCAAAAAAATATATTTGAACAAAGTGAATAAACTAATCAAACAAACCGTGGAGGTCGCCGTAAATAAAATATGCAGAAATCCAGCTAGCTTGAAAGAAATGCGAAAGGAAGTTCACTGATAATAAATTTTCATTCAAACTGAGATGAAGAAACCTATTTAACGCGGACATGCTTCGCTGCATGACCACCTGTTCAAATTAATTCTTCACGCTAAAGCGAAATCTCTGAGTTTCTCCCAACCACTTTTGCAGTCATTTTATTGGCCGTGGCTTTACCGATCGTTCCAAAAGTTGAATTCAATTTTGAAGCAATAATAGCATTACCATGTTTGTTTCTTAAGTCCAGGAAGCTGCTTTTAAGTCCGTGATCTGTGTTCAAAACTCACTTGAAAGCACACCGATCGTCATGTTTTCGCAGCGGTTGAAGGAAGTAGAAATTCTTCACCAGAAAGGTTTCAGGACTCTGTACTCCTTTATCTTCCATTCTGAGGTCACCTGAACATTAATTTGTATTTTTCTTGTCTATTTTAAATCCCAAAGTAGTAATTTCTCCCTGTTAGGAATAAAAACAAGACCTCTGAGGTTTGTAGATTTGGCCCACAACCAACTTTCTAGGACCCCTAAAGTCTTCTAAAAATATGCTCAGTAAGTCAATTCTGATTGGTTTATTTGTCCTCAAGAACAATAGAACAATAAGAGAACCAAAAAGTCTTCAGGGAGGGTAGGAAAAGCTATTGTCCCCACATGCTGTATTTTGGGTGGTTATGGGTGGCACGGGAAATTGGAGAGGTTTTTCGCAGGGGCGGTTACGGGCAGCACGGGAGTCAATGGGTTAAGGGAGGGTAGGAAAGGCAATTGTCCCCACTTGCTTTATTTCAGGCGGTTATGTGCGGCATGGGAGTCAATTGGTTAAAATTTTCTTATTTGAAAAAGCTCCTTGTTGCAAGCTTTGATTCATTATGTTTCATAAACTGGTGTGAGAAGAAGTAAATGCATTTTAACATGATGTGCAGGCTTTTTGTTTTCATTGATGCACAGCGACTGCACACATCTTTTAAAGTGAATTTATTAAATATCTTCAATGGGTACCATAAAAAATGCCCTGTGCATTGAAGCCGTAATGCTTTGTCGAGTAAACATGACACATACCGGTACACATGCTTTCACAATCAATTTTTCCTTCAGCTTGTTCATGCATTAAGAAGTTGTGTAGTCTTTTTTAATCCAAAATCCACTTATATGCTTTTCAACTATTTAATCTATAGTTTTTGCAAAAATCATAAATGCCGCTTTATTACAGATGTAGTTAATGAAAGGTGTCTTTAAGTTACTGCGTATTTCAGAAGAAGACCATTTCAAATGCTTCATGCGTGAAAAGGAGAAGTATATTTTGGTGTTGATGTTCATTCCACTCATTTAATGAGTATGAAAATTAAGAAAGAAAAAATTAAAAATACCTTGGGAGCTACGTTGACGACCAAGCACGAAAAGTTAGTCACCGGTGAAAAAAACCTGTTCCCATTGACGACCCAGCATTTCTGACATCAAGCTTTGTAGTTTTTGACTACTTGTTTATGATACATTTTTGAAAGGTTGGTTGATGGTTTTTGCAATCATCATTGCACTGCTTATTTTGGAAAGCATTGTTAATTGTGGACATCTCTGTTTGTTTCAGGATTCTTAAAAACATAGGCATGCAGCAGGTTGGCCGAAACTATTACCACATCGATCATCCCATTATGATCGACAAGTTCAAGTAAGTACCCTCCCTGCTTCCACCCCCTCCCTTAAAAGATAATTAAATGGATTATTTCATTTCCACTTAAAATTATATACAATTCATAAGAAAATTAATTTTACTAGTAGTAATCAGAGATTATGAGAGTGCGTTTGACGCTCTCACTTTAATATATATATATATCGTAAATAAATGATTTCACTAGCTGACTTTCAACCAACAGTCAGATATGCATAGTGTCAAAGTCCATGCTAGTGAACAGGTCACGATTTGTTGATACGTTGCGTGACGCGGCCAGTTTCTGTAGTTTCTCAAGTTTCATAGAATATTTAAATTACGTACATTATTTTAAGCTAGCATTTGCAGTCGCATGCTCGTTTCGCGTGGTCATTTATCATAAACAAACTCTGTGCGACTAATTCGAGTATTTCCCCTGATTAATAAAGTAGTCTTATGGATCTTGCCTTCAGAGTACTTTTCCACTAATTCCAAACAATAAAATTGCGACCAGATAAAGACTGAGCTATCTGTCGCAACCAGAACTAATCAACAAATACAATCAAAATGTAGCTGTTCCCACGAATATCATCTCGAAGCTAAGTCGTGTTAATAAACAAGGACAATTCCCTCAAATTTCGATAAACACCGCTGTCGAAGCGTTTAAATTCGCCAAAATCTAACGCTGAAAGCACAATAGCGAGGCGTACGGTGACTGAATGGAAAGAAGTCAAAAAAAGATCCATCGGAAAGACAAGCTCACATGGCCTGCTCACATACTCACATGTTCGCCACATGTCTTATCACATGTCTTAGAGTTAAACGGTACCAGTTTACTGGCTGTGACATGCCCCTGCAAAAATCAAGCGGGGTGGCCATTTTGGTGTCCTTACAGGAATGTGGTTTTTTCGGGCTAGAACCGTGCACAGGGATACCAACTCTGAAAAGCCACAGGCCAAAATTAGGTTTGCATTCCACTTCATTGAATGCAATTAACAGGTTTATTAACAGGTTTATTAATTAATTAACAAATAGATTCCATGTTGCCCTGCATCTGTTCAGTAATTGATCACAGAGGAGGTATAAAAGAACAAAAGAGGCACACAAGGCTATTCCATGTAATTAGCTGTTTATTTCAGCTGTGGTTTGCGGGGGAGGAAAAAGTGCATGACCAGCTTAACGAGGGTCAGCGAAGGAGGGTCTCCAGATTGAACTGAAAACGTACTGGACACACAATCTGAAGTCCAGCATGTTAACCATTGGGTTACTGCACCTCCTACAACACAAAAGCTGTGTTAAAATGTCATGACACTGTTGTCAGTCACTTACTAAGAAGTGCTTTTTTTTTTTAAATTGAACCTAGGTTGGAACTGTGGCCAGGTTATACAACCTCTATTATGCCATATGAAACTGAAGTCCTTCTTAGTGCAGATGTGTCGCACAAAGTTTTAAGACAAACGACTGTGCTAGAGTATCTCTATGAGCTCTACAATACTGTAAATCAACGAGATTTCCACAGTACAGCCACGAAGAAGCTTGTGGGTCAGATAATCTTGACAAGGTATTCTTAATTGCAAATGCTTTAAAGATAAACTGGTGTAAAGTAGATATTTGCTCCTCCTAACTTCACCTGCTCATTAAAAGAGGAATAAAACTAACACACTGGCCAACAACATTTAGACACCATTGGTTAACAAGATTCTTGATGCCAATGGGATGCTGTTTCTTATTTCAGTGGGCATAGAGCTTGAATTTTAAAGACGTGACTGTGCCCGGGAAAACATACCTAAACGCTTATCTGTTAGAGGGGCAATATCATTAACCATTCGTTAGTCACCAGTTAGAAAGTTTTCTCATAAACATTAGACGCATTAACCTAAGTGTTAGCTTTGAAAGTCAAAATGTTAGCATGGAGAGTATAAGCGTTAGCCGTTAGCATCATATTGTTAGAACAAAAAGCCTAACCACTGCAGAGCCTTAAAAAAATTAGTATTCGTTAGATGGTTATGTAATTGTTTGCTATAGAATTCTGTGCTGTAACGAGCCATTCTAAGGCAAAACTTGTTAGCCGTTAGAACAATAATAATAATAATAATAGTAATAGTAATAATAATAATAATAGTAATAATAATAATAATGATAACACTATAATAATATGGCGTGACAGATAACTTCGCTCGTCATCTTGGCTTAAACCTCTGCATTATTATAGCCAAAAATTATTTATATACTGCCTCAAGAAAAGAAGAAGAGTTTTAGTTCGATGCTTTCTTAGCAATGTTGACAAACAAAATTAAAATTGAGAAACATAAATCTAAGTCACAAATTAACTCTCTCCTCCGCAGAGGCTCTGACAGGTTTTAGGTGGGGAGAGTCCGCTGTACGTAGTGAGTGCAGGCGAAAGCCCCATTGTGAACCTCTGCGGAGGAGAGAGCTCCCGGGATATAATTGACCAATCAGAGAGCAGTTTAAAGCAAGGGTTGGAGCACGTGGTGTTCGATTGTGTTTCGGCGTCTCGTCGAGCGATTGTGGGCGACATTTTGGAAGGGTTGTTGTAGTTCTCTTGTTGTAAAGCAAGATTCTTTTTGTAACTAGACATGACTGGCGGTTATGGAGGACGGAAGCTGTTCGTAGGAGGCCTTCCTCCGAAGGTGGACGAAAAAGCCTTGCGAGATGTGTTCTCTCGTTTTTGGCATATCGAAGAAGGTTTGTATGAATAAGCCAACTGCTCATTACATAAGCTATTGAAGGCTGCTGAATTATAAGCTAAAACGTACATATACCAAGTCTAATCGTTTACGAGTTTACAACACACTATGCGTGATGCGTTTTCTATCATCTTATGTTATTGTGTGTTTGAATTTTCAAAAACTTAAAATAATATGGACGAGTAATCCTGAATTAATTAACTTGTGCGTTTTGAGCGACCACATTTTCGAGTGAAATAAGTGAAATTTGTGCATTAGTCAAACAGGCGTCGAACATTGTGCATCTGTAGGCTATTGTCTTAAACGAAATACTTCTTCGGGATGTTTCCAGAGTGAGAAAAAGGGAAGAAAACATCAGCAAACAGATTTCAACGGCACGCACTCGGTCACCATTGCGATATCTGGTGTCCATCAATCAACTATTAGTATAATCTACCGTACCAACGTTCTACCACGAACGTCATTCTCTGATTGGCTATGCTACTCACTAATTATTCTGTTGTGGATAGTGTGTAGCCTAGCAGTGTGCGCTTGTTGACAAACTGGCGGCTGCTTCTTTGCATTTTCGAAGTGTCCTTAAAAAGGATTTGGATTAAGTTTTGAAGATTAGTAGATTTACATGTGTACTAAAACAAGATTATTCGCTCTGGATTTCTATGCATGATAGTTCACTCGGACTGTGCCCTCGTCAACTATCACACCANGTGTACTAAAACAAGATTATTCGCTCTGGATTTCTATGCATGCTAGTTCACTCGGACTGTGCCCTCGTCAGCTATCACACCAAAGAAATCTTGGGTCAATCTAATATTGTTGATAATAAACATGAAGCTACACTGGTCCTAGAGGTTTTTCTTGATTTTTCTTCTTTTGGCAAAGTGGCGAACATGAGTCTTGAAGCGGCGAGAAAGAAAAACCTCTGGTTACCTTGGACTTGAAATCTCACCTTCATGCAGATGCCAGGGTTAGGATCTGACCCTAGGGCTCAGATTGGTTGATATTTTACAAACAAGCAATATGATCACATGGTGATTAATGGAAATTGGTACATACATGTAGTTGTAAGGATTGCTCCATGGGCATAGAGAAACCTTCAGACTTTAGAGGTGATGACCTTGCCTGAAAAAATTACAAAATGCCAGAATGCACGAGCGTTGAAATCAGGATACAAACACCCTCAAATTACAGTGAAAACATTTTTTTCACCAAATGAAACTGTTATAATTACCCCATGACCTTGGTTGACAACATTGTTAAAACAGAAATCTATAAATGAAAAACAAACTCAAGAATATTTTTAAAATTGATCTTTGTGGAGTAGTTTCAAATGGCTCTTTTCAGAGCCACCACAAAAACGAGATTCTTGGTCTTTGTTCACTTGGATTCTTTCATCAATGTTTGTTAATGGGAAATTGTGAATAGATATTCCATTTCCATGATATACATTTAGCCAATATAATGTGCAGGCTTTTCCCCAACAGGATAACTGGATCCCTCATCATTTGAATTGAAGTCTGTTTTGGCAAGGCAAACATCAGAGAAAGTAGCCTGCAAGCCTTGAAACCTTTGGAATGTTTTCTCCCAAGAGTTGCATGTATTTCCAGAATAATGAGCATTTTGCCTGAAAAACTTTACTGATTTCTGAAACTGGGGGGCTGCAGCTCCCCTCCCCCCTCCCCCACCCCTTCTTCCCCCCAGCTTGTGCATGTATATGGATTGCTCAGCTTTTTCTGTAGCGATTGCATTGATTAATTGCCAACCTTTAGAGTGTTGTATATGATTTTAAACTTCTTTTTCAGTGATACTTGTGACAGATCGTGAGACACATAAGAGCCGTGGTTTCGGGTATGTGGTATTTACTAACGAGGAAGATGCCAAGGAAGCCATGGAGACAATGGCAGGCGAACGTGGCAAGGTGTGTATGCATATAGTTTCTTAGAAGGAATGTGTTCGTTTCTTTTTGTCTAACAAGAGCAATGTCTGTGATTTTACCTGAATAATTGGAAACTCTTTGCTCGGTATATAGCATAGTAGAAATTCTTGTTGTGCTCAGCATGCCAGTTTGGCTAGGGGAAGTATTTTCTTTTTGACCTGAATTGAAATACTGAAGGTGAAATGTTTTTGGTATCTATCAGGGAATTATTTGTGAAGGCTTGCTTTAATGATTACCAAACAACGTAAATAGAAATGAAATGTAAACCATTGGAAATTTATGTAAAACCCCTGGATTAACAACAGAATGTTTTAAATAGTGGAGTGTTGCACTTTTCCATGGTCTTATAGTTGGGCAATCTCCTATAAATTGCAGAAATTCTTCAACCATGTAATGACATTGGAGTATGCTAGAGATAAGGAATCCAGTGCACCAAGGGGAGGACGAGGAGGTCGTGGAGGGATGCGGGGAGGCTTCTCAGACAGAGGCCGGGGACCACCCCCACGTGGTCCACCATTCAGAGGACCCCCTCCAGGAGGTCCTGCTCAACGTGGTCCTCCCAGCAGGTTAGTTTAATATGAGCCTATTCAGAAGGCTTCCTTCAGGAGGTCCTGCTCAATGTGGTCCTCCCAGCAGGTTAGTTTAATATGAGCCTATTCAGAGGGCTTCCTTCAGGAGGTCCTGCTCGACGTGGTCCTCCGAGCAGGTTAGTTTAATATAAGCCTATTCAGAGGGCTTCCTTCAGGAGGTCCTGCTCAAGATGGTCCTCCTAGCAGGTTACATGTACATGTAGGTTTTAAATTCATCAGTTGGGAAAGTGACTTTGAATGTTTCCTGGGCACCTTCATCAAGTGATTGGCTACGAGATAAAAGTGCATGGCTTTTGCTGGGTTGCCACTAACTTTTAAAGTCGGCAGCTTAGTGTTTGAATAGGTGGCTATTACCATTGTTTTCTAAATAATCGGATGAACATCACAGCAGAGAAGCTGTTCCAGATCATGAAGTACAGGTTGTGTTTTCATTGGTTGACAGCTTTTTTTGACAACCCTAACTTTTGCTGCCAAATTAAATGTGCTTTTTATTTGAAGTCTACAAACATTAAACATGCAACTAATAACAAATGAAGGAATTTCAACAAAATTGCTACGAAGACTAGGAAGGAAACCTTTATTTGACACTTTGTGAACTGCCACCTGCTGTCATTTGCTCTGGAAAGTTTGACTTTTTTGTATATTTATGCGTGCCTGTATCAAAGCCTAACCCATTCCTAGGTGCACTGTTTCTGCCTGGTTGAATAGGAACATCTCAAAAGTACACATATTACATCCAAGGAAATACCTATGAAACTATAGTGCCAGGGAAATTCAAGAGCTTGTTTTAAAAAGACAACAGGGTGTTTTCATTATTACAGTTGCAATTTGAAAATAACCAGGAACCAGGAGAAATTACACACATAATGATAAACTAGGCCACTTTTAAGGTGATTTCATGTTGTAAGGACTTGACTAGAAATAGCTTGAAACTAAGGACAAATATGTAGACATCATTATTAATTTTTTAAAAAGTCTTTTTTTAACCTATTGATGCCTGAATGAAATTGCCCGTGACCCACCCCTAATTCCCTGGCGTTTTTTGGAATATTTCAGAGCGAGCAAAAGCACAAAAATAAACCATATGCGCAGTAACCACAGACGCAAGATCAGGTTTCAACTTAGACGTTGTTTATTTAAAGTGGAACAAATGAAGGGTCAAAATATTAAAAAATATTAGCAAAAAGAACTCAACCTAATGTGTAAAACTGATGAGAAAACGAGAAATTATATTATTTCTTTACCGCGTGACAAAATGTCCCACAGAAGCTGAGAAAATTGACTTTGCGAAAGTGAGTTAATTATTGACTTTGGAGGACAAAAACAAAACCAAATACAACAGAATTGAATTTCTTGTACTATAATGGCTAACATTTGAGACAACAACGAAAAATAAAAGCGAAGAACTCATGTAAATATCAATCTGAAAACAAGAAATCAAGTAATTTCTTCGCCGCGCGACGAAAATATTATGGCGCTGCAAAAGAAAGATGAAAGTCGTANTGCTACTGCTACTGCTACTGCTACTGCTACTGCTACTGCTACTACTACTACTACTACTACTACTACTAACAATAATAAAAACTGTTGACAGAGGATATCACCAAGCTAACACTATTGAATTAATTAGAGTGGTCCTCTGTCTACATTACGGAAATTTACTATGCGGAATTAAAAACTGAAGCTTAACCCATTGATGCCTGAATGAAATTGCCCCTAATTCCCTGGCGTTTTTTGGAATATTTCTGAGCGAGTGAAAGCACAAAGATAGACCATATGCGCAGTAACAACAGACACAAGATCAGGTTTCAAGACATCGCTTATTTTAAGTTGAATAAATGAAGGGTCAAACTATTAAAAATATTAGCAAAAAGAACTGAACCTAATGTGTAAAACTGATGAGAAAACAAGAAATTATATTACTTCTTTACCGTCCGACAAAATGTCCCACAGAAGCTGAGAAAAGTGACTTTGCAAAAATGAGTTAATTATTGACTTTGGAGGACAAAAACGAAACCAAATACAACAGAATTGAATTTCTTGTACTATAACGGCTATCAGTTGAGAAAACAATGAAAAATAAAAGCGACGAACTCATGTAAAAATCAATACGAAAACAAGAAATCAAGTAATTTCTTCGCTAAGCGACGAAAATATTACAGCGCTGCAAAAGAGGATTAAAGTTGTAAATCAAAAAGACGACAAGAACAAGCGAATTATTTTGAGATCAGTCGTACTTCAACTGTGTTAAATCAGTGGCCATTTAGCTCTGTTCTCAGCAGTTCTGTAGTAGCTGAATAAGACTCCAAAAAATATTTGAACAAAGTGAATAAACCAAATAAACAGAGTGCGTGGAGGTCGCCGTAAATTGAATATGCAGAAATCCAGTGTGCAAGTTACTGTTCACTTTTAAAACCAAAAATTCCCAAATACAAGGAACCAAATAAAAGAAATGCGAAAGGAAGTTCAATAACAATAAATTTTCATTCAAGCTGAGACGAAGAAACCTATTTAAAAGCAAAAAATTCCCGTTCAAAATTTTGCAGACATGCTTTGCTGCATGAGTGCATGTTCAAATTATTCTTCATGCTAACGCAAAAGCTTGAGTTTTTGCCAAACGCTTTTGCAGTCATTTTAATGCCCGTGGCTTTACCAATCGTTCCAAAAGTTGAATTCAACTTCGAAGTAATAGTGTACATTACCATTTTTGTTTCTGAAGTCCGAACAGCTGCTTTAAACCTGCGATCTGTCGTCGAAACTTACTTGAAAGCGCTCCGATCTTCATGTTTTCTCGACGGTTGTAGGAAGAAAAACTTCTTCACCAGAAAGTTTTGAGGACTCTGTACTCCCTCATCCTCCATTCTGAGGCCACCTGAACATTGAATTGTATTTTTCCTTTCTATTTTAAAGCCTGAAGCAGTAATTTATCTGTGTTAGGAATGAAAACAAGACCTTGGAAGGTTTTTAGATTTGGCCCACAACACGCCATGATTACTTGCACTTTTTGAGCGCATGATTTTAGAAGAAAAACCATCTTTCTAGGACCCCCAAAGTCCTCTGAAAATATGCTCAGAAAGTCCATTCTGATTGGTTTATTTGTCCTCAAGAACAATAGAACAATCAGAGAACCAAAAAATCTTCAGGGAGGGTAGGAAAGGCAATTGTCCCCATGTGCTTTTTTTTGGGTGGTTACGGGTGGCACAGGGAAATGGAGGAGTTTTTCGCACGGGTGGTTACGGGCAGCACAGGCGTCAATGGGTTAAACATTTAAAACTATAAGGATAAAAAAAATCCTGTATATACAAGAATATGTTAATTACAAACAGTTCCGGCTAGGTATTTCTTAAACTTTTCTTGGCTATAGTCTCTAGCATCTACAGATAAAACGTTCCAAGCATGTACTCTTCTGTACTGGAAAGATCTTTGTCCTGTCTTAGAAGATAGCTTAGTTATGAACAGGTTTCCATTTGTGGCTGATCTTGTGTTGATTTGGTGTTTATCTCAAAAATACTCAGCCTTTAACATACTTAGCAAAGAACGTTAGAACACTTTGAAGGCGGTTATAATGAAAAGCTTATAAACTGGAGCTGTTAACCGTTTGGAAAATGTACAGTTTGTAGGGTTTGTCTGTTTAAATATTGCTGCAGTGATCTGTGTATGGTTGGTTTTGAATCCTGTGGATACTTTAAATGCACCAGACTGAGTCACTGTTGTGTTCTCTTTTTCCAAGGTACAACAACAAAACGTACCGCATTGATGACATCAAGTGGGATGTGTTTCCATCTCATACCTTCCATGGCAGATTCAAAGGGGTTGAACGCGATATATCCTATATTGAATATTATCAGGAGGTATTAATTGTTTCTTCTTAAACCATTAATAATTTATTAATTCTCAACAAAGATGTAGCATGATGGTGATGGTGCCGGGCTATGTGAACTCAGGGGTCCTTAGAAAAAATTGAACTACACCATAGATATTCCATGCAATCCACCTCACTGCATGTAAATAATAGCCCAGATCAAGAATATGATGGCTATCTTCTTACATTTCTGGTATTTCTGTCCACCCTGACCAAAAGTAATAGAGGGAAATGGCTTGGAAAGCTGGCAATATTCTTTGTTGTATGCTTTTGTATGCTGTTTTGGGGATTGACCGTGCACAAAACTTGGCAGAATACAAAAGGTGGTTATTTGTGCTCGTGAAACTAACCAATAAAAGCATTGTGACTATGTAAATCATGCATAGTCAGTGAGAATAAACAAAAGATGTATGGGGTCAAGGACCTTCCAGCATAAATCCTTGCCTGTTTCTTTGCTTCTTTGATGTTTACTGGACTTCCTAACCATTTTGCTGTATTAACTATTCCCTGACCTTGACTAAGGGCCATTTTTGGATTGTGGGAACAGTGTATTATAATGGTTCCTTGGTGATAAGTTTCTCCCAAATTAAAATAAATAAATAATAACCAATCATTCCTTTTCAGACATATGAGCGGACCATTACTGATAGGGATCAACCCCTCCTTGTTAGTCGCTTAAAGAAACTTGTAAGTGAAAATGATTTTCTTTTCTTTTCTTTTCCTCGTGACGTGTTTGTCACTTCTGATGTGCTGGTTATGTTTTCACTGTAATTTGGACTTGCGACTCCCATTTTGCATGTCTTTACAGCCGGGCCAGAAAATGAGAATTCCTGAGGGTGAACTCTTTCTTGTACCAGAATTGTGCTTCTTAACAGGTAATTACACTCGGACTGTTTTAAGCCAGTAACATTGATTGCTTGTCGCTATTTTAATTCATATTGTTGGTTTTCACAAGTGGTGTGATCAAAACTAAAAATCGTAACCATTCAATAAATGAAGTCAAGAATCTGGGATATGATAGATAATTGATATATAAACAACCTTGCCAAGAATTAGGTCTCTGCAGTTTTTCATTTGTGCGGTATTCAGAAAAAGTGTTTCACCCAAAGTTATAGAGCTTTGTATGTAGACATCCGTATTGATGCCCCTCAGAGGGGCATAAATATGGAGGCAGTAACGTAACAGAAACATCTGTCATTGGGTTTTGCTATTGAAACAAAAAGTTGTTGCTTTAGAACTCCAACACATTGAAATTAATGGTTCTAACTAGTGCAAGAATTGTTCAGGTGGCAAAAACTAAAGTGATAACTCATCTTTTGACCTACGCAACAGCCTACTCGGGCCACCATTCAGGGCTCGAAATTAACTTTTTCATTCGAGAGCCAGCTGGCGACTAATGGAAAAATTTTGGTCGCCAGATCGTCAATTTTGGTCGCCAACTTATTTTATAAATAACTTGCACAAGAACACGGTTTTATACGTTACTATGCATGCAAGAAAAGTCATAATTGAAGATTGAAAACAATTAGAAACAACATCAATAACACTTAGTTATAAAGCTACCGTTGTTCTCAGGTGATATGTCTCTGGTCCGAAGGTGATGGTTGTCTCCATTGTCATTTTATTTTAAAATGAAGCGAAGCATAAAACGTTTTAATTCCGTGGTTTTCATTGTGAGACAAACACGGGTCCTTGCGTATTTTCCCGTCGCTACTTCTTCGAAATGCTGTTACATTCTTTATTTTCGACTTGCTTTCCTCGAAGTGGACCTGCGATCCCAGTTTCGGAAGAAGCGGCTGAAACAATATGGTGCGCCCTGAACGCAGTATCGACGTGTCGAAATACATTCAATTTTTTCAATTATCTTGTAATATTCAGACATTATTTTACTAGGAACGGAAAGGTGAGTTGTATACTAGCTACCATATCCAATTGATTTCCTAATATAAAGATTTAAAAACAAAAGTTGTGTCGTGGTTTTCTTTAGCTATCGGACAAAACGCGAGTCGCCAGTGCTCAATTTTTGGTTGCATTGGCGACCAGTGAGTCGCAATTTCGAGCCCTGCCATTTAATGTCTTGCAATGCAAAAGCTTGGAAATTCAAACATGCTCTGTTACAAAACCAAGAACCCTATCAAGCCAAAACATTGTAAAATGTCAAGTTCCTAAAGGGTCTTAAAGGTGATAAAACTAAAACCTCCGAAGGAAAGGCGATTTTAAATTTTAGAATATGACTACATCATATGAAAACCAAGAAAAGAGTGAACCAACTAATTATGCCTCTTTTGTACAGGACTAACTGACGAGATGCGCAATGATTTCATGCTCATGAAGGATCTTGCAGTTCATACCAGAGTTGATCCCAAAGCACGTAACCAGTCTCTTATGAGGTTTATGGGGAGCATACAAAGGTACATTTGCAGCTGCATAATCAAGCATATGAAGCAGGGTTTCATTTATTTCTTCAGCAGAAAGTCAAATTCACAGGGAAGCAAAACTTTTGGTACTGAAACTTTCCCCTAGAGGATCATTCCAGGCGGGCAAAGTCATCCTCAGAGCCAGTCAATTTGCTCGGTGCCGGGCCCTTGATAAAACCACTGTAACAGTAACAGTAACTTTTTTAACCCTGAAGATGAACATTATATAGCCCCTATGAAATGCTCAGATTTCAAATGTATTCTTCAGTTTGGTAGAATTGTGTCATAAGAGATCTATGTTCAAACATTAGTAGCATAATACATAACCAATCTTTGTAGCACAGTCTGTCTTAAGAGCCATGTGGCCCAGGCCAGGCCTTATCTCTTGCTTCCTTAGCATGAAGCGACTGAGAGTATTTCTACTCCCCCTTGGATAGTAGGCTTATCTGTCTCAGGGTTCCCCCTTGGCATTAAATTTTCCAGTACTCATACTTCTGGGTGTAGGGAGGTACTGTGAGAATAAACTGTCTTGCCCAAAAACACACCACAGTGTCACCAGCCAGGGCTGAAACCAGGTCCGCTTAATCAGAGGTGAGCACATCAGCCATGACACCATTGCACTTTTTGCACCAATTAATGTACATTTGCCAATTTGGAGAAATTTCTGTTCACTTGAGTTTAAAACTTAACCATGCCTATTCCTCCTAGATCTCTTTAATCTTAACTTTCATATAATACTAGTTCAGAAGATACCAAACAAGGTAGATTGTAAAAAGTAGCAAAAATGGAGGAAGCACGCCTAGAAATTTTGTGGCGGACTACCAAATCATGAGATCTCTCTGTGTTTTTCTTAGTAATGAAGAATCAGCTGCTGAGTTGTCAGGCTGGAATCTAGAGGTATTGTGTCAAATTATGTAAATGTATGCTTTTTATTAAATAAACGTTGATACGTGCAGTAGCTATGTAGTTATCCAGGAGTGTTTCTGAACCAGGTTTTAAGCTTGAATTTAAAAAGTAGGTGTCCCCTAGTTAACATTGGAAGTAATACCTCAATCCCTTAGGGAAGTCTAGGGGCAGTGGTCTCAAAAATACTATGCAAAATGCAAGAATGGTAAATCCATTTTCTGTTATTTTCATTATATGTAAGACATACAAAAAGAAAAAGAGAAGCTGAAATCATCTGTGTACTTTACTTTTTTAGATAGATAATGTATTTGGGCTTAACCCATTGATGCCTGAATGAAATTGCCTGCAACTCACTCCTAAGTCCCTGGTGTTTTTTGAAATATTTCAGAGCACACAAAAGCACAAAAGTAAACCATATGCACAGTAACCACAGACACAACATCAGGTTTAAAGACATCGTTTGTTTAAAGTTGAATAAATGAAGTGTCAAAATATTAAAAAATAGTAACAAAAAGAACTTTGCAAAAATGATTTCATTATTGACGTTGGAGGACAAAAACGAAATGGCTAACATTTGAGAAAACAATGAAAACTAAAAGTGAAGAACTCCTGTAAAAATCAATCTGAAAACAAGAAATCGATTAATTTCTTCACCGCGCGACAAAATATTACGGCACTGCGAAAGAAAGAGGAAAGTCTTCAATAAGAAAGACAACATAAACAAGCCAATTATTTTGAGATTTATACAAAAGCAAACAATTGTCAAATACTTGTGAAATGTTCGTGGCTAGTCTGACG